GGCGGCACTGGCACTGGCCCCGGCCCTGAGCGCCATGAGTCGGGGCAGCTCCGAGAGGGATCTGGCGGCCGGGTTGCAGGCGGAGGCGGTGGCCCCTGCCAAAGCGGGGGCAGAGGCCAAGGCAGTGGCGGAGCCCACAGCGGAGACCAAAGCGGAGGCAGAGGCCAAGGCAGTGGCGGAGTCCAAAGCGGAGACCAAAGAGGAGGCAGAGGCCAAGGCAGTGACGGAGGCTAACGTGGAGGCCAAAGTGGAGCAGGTCCGTGTGGACGCGGGCGCAGCCGGGGAGCCCGAGAGCAAGGCTAGGGAGCTGCAGCCCAAGGTCCCGGCCTCGGCGCAGCCCCGCGCAGCCGAGGAGGGGGACGTTCGTACTCCCCTGCGGCCACTGCCCACGCTGACCCCGGCCAACCCGAAGCCAGCGCTGGCGCGGGGCCACTGCCTACATGGGAAGTCCAGGAGCAAGTGCAGAAGCTGCAAGCGGAGCTCGGGCCCGCGTTCCGATGAGTACAGCCTGCCGCGGCCCGTCACCGTGGACAGCTCCAAGGCCAGGACCTCTCTGGACGCCCTAAAGATCAGCATCCGACAGCTCAGGTGGAAGGAGGTGAGGCCTGGCCCGGCCCCATGGGCACAGGGGGGTGGACAGGATGTCCTCAGAGGACTCGGCACGCCCAGGCCAGGTCGGCGGGCGAGGGCTGAGCTCCTACCGTGGCCCACGCCGGAGCCTTCTTGTCAGCTGGAAACTGCTCATGCTTCAAGGCCTAGTCCCAAAGTCACTTCCTCCAAGAAGGCTTCCCAGACCTAGTCAAGTTAGCCACTCTCTCCCCCAGGCTCCCTTAGGGCTCTTGATACATCTCCAGCCATCATTACTTAACTCTGCATGTTGTAGATAGTTGTTTATCTGCCTGGCTCTTCCACCAGCTGGTGTGTCCCTGGGGCCCAGACCCTCTCTCTTTCACTTTTTCACTGAGGCTACGTGTTTACTCTTAGGAAGTGTGATGGTTTGTATTTTGGAGGCAGGCAGACTAGGGTCTCACTACACCCTGATACTTGTGTCACCTTGAGCAAGTTGTTTTGCCTGGTAAGCCTTTTCTTCCTCCTCCTCCTCCTCATCGCAGGCATGGTGTTTTATGTTCCCAGGCTTCACATATAGCAAGTGTCAGTAAGTGCTGAGTGGAGGGGTGAATGAAGTGAATGAAGTGATGAGCTATTTGTCCCTGAGCCCATTTTTAGCTGGTGGGGGCTAGGAGGAAGCACCAGTGAGCTGGATGAGTGGATAAAGCCACTTGACTTTATTTGTAGCATATGGGAAATTTAACGTGTTTTCAGGAGTTGTTAGAATTTGGATTCAGGGTAGCTGAGTGTGGAGACAGACACACGTGATCTGTTGATGGTAGCAGGGATCTACAGCAGGCAACCTGGGTACGCTGGTACTTAGTCCTGTCTTCGCTATGATAGGCATTCAGTAATGGTTTTTTTTCAAGTAGTTGAAGCATGCATAGAGACGGCTGCAGGAAGGATTGAGGTGATCAAAGGGTCATTTGGTTTAGAGGGAAGTTAAACATCAAGGCAGGGCAGACTTCTGGTGGGTAGTTAGCCACTAGAGAAATCCCAGTCCAGGTGTCAGGGCCCCCAGCTGTGGAGCTTGGAATTCAGGGGAGGACTTTCCTGGGAAAACATGGGAAAAGCAGTGGTGGACTCCCAGTCCTGGAGTGTCTGGGTTGCTACCTGGGGTCCCATGTCCAGGCCAGGGATATGAGGCCCAGACAAAGTAAAACTGAACAACTGGTCAGTACCATGGTCCTAATGAAAAGAGAACCCTGCGACTGAAACCAGGCCACAGTCAGGCTGGGCAGATTGACCCAGGTAGGGCCTGTGCTTAGCTTACCCCTGTGGAGGAGAGAGACATGAAGCAGGCTAGATTGAGTTCATTAGGGAAGATGGGGCTAGATGGACGTGTGCCTCCCAGCTCAGGTTCAATCACTCGCTCTGTAAATGTCCACTATTGAGGTGCCAAGTTCTGTGCTGGGTCCTGGAAATATGCTTAATTGAATTTGAATATAATTCAATAGAGAATAAAACACAAGGAAAGAAAAAGTTATAGTAATTACAGGGTCACTGCTGTTACTTCCTGAATATTCCTCCTTTCGGTTATTTGTACTACTTACTCTGTCACTTCTTCAGATCTCTGATCAAATGCCACCTCCCCAGAGAGACCTTCTCTAATGATCCTCCACCAGTCTCCAGCCTTTGATTTTTTTTTAATGGCACTAAACTCTACCTGGGGTTTTATTATGTATTATTTGTTCATTGTCTGTTTCTCTCACTAGAATGTAAGCTCCATGAGGGCAGAGGCTTTGTTTTGTTTACTGCTGTACCAGCAGGTGCTTGGCACTTAGAAGCTACTCAATAAATATTTGTTGAATGGATGAATACATGATGTGAAGAGTGTTTCTCATAAACTCGAGCTGAGTCCTGAGTGCTGAAGATGAGCCGGAGCTGTTTATAGGCTGTGGACTTTGGATCACTGGTGGAGGGAGTGGTGTGGGGAAGGCAGAGGTCCACTCGGGGCTTTGCGTGTGGTTTGGTGGCTCGATCAAGAGTGGGAGGCGCAGAATGAGCAGATCATGTGCCATGCTACGGGAGCTGGACTGGTTTTGGAAGGAAGGCCATGTGAACCATCACAGAATTTTAACATTTTTCCATTTTTCATTTTTCTGTGCTACTTTAGGCAAATGAGTTTAACTTTTCAGGCCTCAGTTTGCTTATCTGTCAAATGGGAATGGATAGAGCTAGTTCAGTGGTTTATAGTCTCCTGCAGCAGCCACATGATGGTAATGTTAATCTGCATGAAACTCTCTTGCACTAGTCGACTCAGTGGGGTGGGTGACTTCCAGGGCACTACCTGTAACTGTCCCCTCCACCCCCAACCCTGCCTTTTTCTCCCATCAGAAAGCATTTTGGCATGTAGGTGGCAATGCTCATTCTAGTATGTTTTAAAACATAATCCATTCGCAACAGTGAGACTTTACTATGGATGTGTGATTATTTCCTTAATGTCACTCCTCCCCATTAGCATGTGAGGTCCTGGGGGCCATAGTGGTGTCTGACTTGTATAGACATACACTTTGTAGGTGCTTAATAAATAGTCATCAAAGGAATGGCACTGCTTGCAACAGCCCACATCTCACCTTGACACCTTAGAATGTGCAGTTGGAAAAGTGTCAGGATAGATAAACTTTAAAGTTCCATCCTGCTTTAAATTATGATTCTTGTACTCTTAGTACCCCCTACAAAGTTGATTGCATGAAAAGTAACACACATATAAACCTGATACTGACAAAGTGCAAACACAAGACCTCTCTAGGCCTTTGTTTCCCTGTCTGTTATGGGGGTGACATTGGAGAAGATCCTCTCTAGCTCTCAGCACTAACATTCTAGGACTGGGAACTTCTGCTGGGGACTGAGCAGCAGTGTCCCAGACATGTCACGCTGTGTTGCTGCTGTGGGGTTTGAGGGTTCCTAGCTGGCTGGATTTGGCAGGAGCAGGTTGGTAGCCCAGGTAAGAAATAAGTCATGAACACCGGCCAGAGTGAAAGCTCTGGCTACTTCTATGCACACGCTGTGAGGAGCTATATGGCATAGTCCACTGAACAGTGTGGCACTGAGCCAGCATGTGAATTCCGAAGTCTGCTCAGCTGGAGGGCACACAATCTCCCTTTTTCACTTTTCTTTATTACACAGCATTTAGCAACAATGGTAATGAGTATGGTAATAAACCCTCATACGTGTGTAGCTCTTACTCTGTACCCAGGTGCTGTTTTAAGTGCTTTACGTATGTACAAGTATTTGATTCTCCCAACAACTCAGTAAATTAAGTGGTTTATTGTGTCCATTTCACAGATGAGAAGATTGAAGTCCTTAGTGGTTAACTTACCCAAGCTCATACAAGTCAGAGAAAGCATTTGAAACTGGTATTCTATTTGAAGCCAGGCTTCCAGTCTGTGTTCTCTATAGGCAGACCCTGGGTTGGGGGTTGCAGCTGGAGATGTGAATGGTATATACTCCTTACCCTCCAGGAGTTGCCAGGGTAGAAGACAGACCTGCACACAGCACACAGTTACAAGCCTGTCAGGGGGTGAGTGGGGCAAGGGCATTCCATTCAGAGCAGGAACAAAGGCAGGGAGTATGGGCCAGGCTTCACAGGCAGGATGGGACGATGGCAGTGTGAGCGGGGAGTGGAGGGAGATGACGAAGGAGCAAGATCATGGAGCACGTTGAAGGCCATGCCAAGAAGCTTGTGCTTCTGACTGAAGTTGATCACAGATTGTCACCATATATAGATCAGCCTCCCTTGCCCACTCTCCTCCAGTCCCAAGTAAACCACGCCAGCTCCCGATGATTCAGTTTTCAGTCATATCCATTCTGGTTAGGTCTAATTTAACTGTGTCAACAATGTTAAATTTGCCTCCCAAAGGGAAAATTCACAGATGTTAGCTGGGTAAACTAGTAGATAAGACTGAAGTTTTTCTCAAATAGCAAAGTCATGTTTACAGAGTCACCAGTGAAGTTGCAACACGGAAGAGAGGGCTGGTGCCTGGATTGTGGCAGATGCTCAGTATTTACGGAACTGCACGGTCCCCTTCTGGTCCCTCGAACTGCTACCCCCATCTCCTGCATATTCCTTTGTCCTTTGGCTGCTCTTATTAAAGAAAACCTTAGAGGAAAGACACCAAAGAGAATAGATGCCACTCTTGTTGTGAGCTGCCCTCCTTGGAGATACAGGTTGTGTCTATGTGCACAGTGGTGTCATGGACACCAGCTAACACGAATGAGGCCGCCGAGAGATTTGACAGTGGGACCTTTGTTGATGAGAGTTTGCATAAGCCTTTGTCCTGAGATCTATTACAGTATGAGTTCTGTTTATCAGAGACTCTAAATCAGGGGTCCTCAAACTTTTTAAACAGGGGGCCAGTTCACTGTTCCTCAGACCATTGGAGGGCCAGACTGCGGGCCCCGGGATGAGTCGGCTGCTAAGCAGGACAGGCAGCGGCGGCAAAAACACCCAGTGGGCTGGATAAATGTCCTAGGTGGGCCACATGTGGCCCGCAGGCTGTAGTTTGAGGACGCCTGCTAAATCATGCATTGTTTTCTGAAATTTGTCCAGTCTTTCTTCGGAACACGTATACACTTACTATGTTGGCCTACTGACAATTTGTATAATATAGTTACTGCTTATGAAATGTTTTATTATGTGCTAAGCATTGTACTAAGTGCTTTATCCTCATTAAAATGGCATTGAGCATTTAGTATAGATTATTTTATTTAATTCTCACAATCCTCTGAAGTAGACTCTATTATCAATTCATGTTTACAGATAAGGAAACTGATATTTAGAGACAGGCTGGTACAGGGCTAGCCCAAGATGTGCTCAGCTACAAGGGCAGGGCTGTCCGGGGCCTGTGTTTGTAGCCAGTTTTCTTTTAATTTTTTTGAGACAGAGTCATACTATGTCACCCTCATTAGAGTGCCATGGTGTCACAGCTCATACCATCCTTCAACTCTTGGGCTTAACTGATTCTCTTGCCTCAGCCTCCCAAATAG